ACTGGGATTGTGTCCAGTGATACTGCTTTAACGGGGCACCTGCTGTGCTATTGTTAAAAATAAAGATAGGTATGACAGACATTGCCTGATATCTTTAATAAGGAATGTGTTCTAATTCCATTTTTATGACAGCACTGTAGTGTTGACAGTTATGTTTAAGGGGGTAAAAAGTGTTTCTTTAGTTTTATTAGTAGCACATACAAAGTACTTTCAAACGCAGGGGTTCCCAACCAGGGCTCACAACCCCCTAGAGATCCATGATGAAATTACAAAGAAATTGAGATTAAATTGCAATAAATTATAAAAATAATTATATAAATTATACAAATAATTATATACACACAATACATTATACAGTATGCTTATGTGTGTGTGTGTGTGTATATATATATATATATATATATACATACATACATACAGAATACAATATACATACATATATACGTACTGTACAGTATATATATATATATATACACACAGTACAGTATGTATGTATATATATATATATATATATATATATAAATGTGTGTGTGTGTGTGTGTGTATATATATATATATATATATATACATACATACATACAGAATACAATATACATACATATATACGTACTGTACAGTATATATATATATATATACACACAGTACAGTATGTATGTATATATATATATATATATATATATATAAATGTGTGTGTGTGTGTGTGTGTATATATATATATATATATATATACATACATACATACAGAATACAATATACATACATATATACGTACTGTACAGTATATATATATATATATACACACAGTACAGTATGTATGTATATATATATATATATATATATATATAAATGTGTGTGTGTGTGTGTGTGTATATATATATATATATATATATACATACATACATACAGAATACAATATACATACATATATACGTACTGTACAGTATATATATATATATATACACACAGTACAGTATGTATGTATATATATATATATATATATATACACACACACACACACACATTTAATTAATATTTCATTATAAATAGTTCATTTTATTTTAATCATTTGTGCGTTTATGTGTGTGTATATATATAATTTTTATAATTTATATAATTCTAATTTATTGTAATTTTATCTAAATTTCTTTGTTGTTTCATCATGGAACTCTAAGGGGGTTGTATGTAATGTAAATATAAAAATAATTTATTCTTATGTAAATTGAAATGCATAATTTAGTTTAAAATTAAAAATGTCACAGAAGTGGCTGCTTGGTCTTTACAGGTTTTTTTAATGGCTCTCCAAGCTACAGATGGCAAAAGACAATCCAGATTGGGACTTGAGGTGATGTGACGTCCCTATTTTAATTCCTCCATGATCACCCCGGACTGCGAGCGCATGCTGTGTTCAGTGAATCTCCTGGGGCAGGAAGGGCTAACAACCCTTGCATTGATCCAAGGACACACTCAGCCCTCTAACCTGCTGAGTGCTCAGTTCAGGAGAACAATGGAGTACAGCACACATCAATACAGCAGCAGCCTATTGAGCGCACTCCGTTTAGTAAAGCCGACTGATGAGGTTGAAGCTCCCGAGTCTCTGCAAAAGCACGACAGACACCTTCAGTGTCTGTAAAAAAAAAAAAAAACTTTCTTTCCCTCTCTCTGAAAAGATATACAGACTTGGGCCTCCTTGTGTTCCGTGCTCCAGCTTTGGAGCATCTTACCCTGTTACTATGAGTCAAGTTGGGCCAAAATGACTGGTAAGCCTCACCTACAGTACCACTCCAAAGAGTTGGAGATTGGGATGGAGGAGGCTTTCTGGGCAGGAATGCACTGCTTGTCCCATAAGACACTAAATGATGTACAAGTGCATTTATTACAGCAGCCCCTATAAATCTGAGCCTGGCCTGAACTCCGGGGAGAGGTTAATGGATTACAAAGGGATGCGGTATCGAACCTTTGAGAAGTTTATACACCACATCAATATGTGCAAGGCTATTGATCATTTAGACCTTGACAGACAAATTAAATTCATAAACTTGATAATGCACTGGAATATTTGTATTGCTTACTACAGTGGAATGGGGCCTTTTTTACATTTTTGAAACAGTGCTGCTTTAGGATCAAGGTTTATTGACTAAAATCACTTAATAGAGTCCACTGAAAACATCAAGAATGCTGATCTAATGTGAAATTTAGAGTAAGATGAAATCCTTAGTTAATACCATGCAGACTTAATCCACATTTTCTTTTAGGCTATTGAATATCTCATGTAACGTCCAAATTATAAAAAAAAAACAAAATCAAATAATTTACATTTAATAATCATTTGTAGTTATGTAAACTGAACTGCATAATTAAAATTTCATGAATTTATTTGTATAATCGTTATGCCTATTTTGGAACAGCACAGTACCTAATACAAAATAAATGCATGTATTATATATGAATAATTTACATTAATGAATACTATGCTTCCTTTCTTATATCTAAACATATTTTTGTTATTTTTTGTCACAATGAAACCATGATACCAAAGTTAAATTGTTACATTTATTCCTGATCAAATGAAAAATCTACAGGAAAAAAAACAACAAATTTGTGCTAAATCAAATTTATTACAATTATGTACATTGATCTTTTCATACCAGAATTTCTCTGTGACAAATACCGGCAGGGTGTCAACAACAATATCAACAGAGCCACATACAGCAACAATGTACAGTTCATACAAACTGTTACAGATCTTTGATGTAAGCTTACTTATAAAACAGATCCAGCACACACACACACACACACACACACACTCTCTCTCAGCTCATGTAAATGAGACCGAATGTTTAAATCCCTAAACTGAGTTGCTGAAACTAAGCAGCAGAATGTAGATTCCTAACAAATCTGTCGTAAAAACAGTTGGAGATGAGAATGCAATATTAAAAGAGATATAGGCACTGAATAGCTTATATCATGTTTAATTCAGTAGCACTCACAGCGGCTTTACAATGATTAGCTAAAATTAGCAAACTATGTTGTTTAAAGGCCTCTGCCGCCATGCTACCAGAAACAACCTGCCAGTTGCAGGAACTCCAGAATGTGGTTTTAAGCAAAACTGATACATGCACACACACTCACACTAAAGCTCTGTCTCATTCTGAAGCCGATGGTCTTCCTTCCTTCCTCTCACTCCTACAGTCGGTAACTCTGCAATGACACTTCTGACACCAATAAATGAAATTTTTATTTTCAAGATTAAATGGACTTTACTGATTCCTTTAAAAGGATAAAAGGATAGTTCACCCAATTTTTTTTTTTTATTATTTTAAATTTCATGTCATTCCAAACAGCCTTTTTTATGGGACAAACAATGTTGAATAGTTTTTGTGCAAGTTATTTAATGACAGTTCATAGTGACCATTTGAGCTCCAAAAAAGAAAAAGAAGAAAAAAGAAAAAAAAACGAACTGGACAGTTCTTGAGCTGTTAACTAAAGAACCACTCTGGCCATATTGAGTTTAACTCAAGAACATGATCAGCCCAATTTCGTGAATGAACTGTGTAGTGTGACTTGTGAACCAGATCAACCGGTTAATCGAAAACCATTCGTGAATCGGACTGATCTGGTTCTTTCTTGGTGTTTTTGGGGTCATTTTTGGAGTTTAACAAGTGGTCGCTATGAACTGTGGTTGTATGGAAAGAAGCAGTGTGAAATTTTTTCAAAACGTATCCTTTTGTGTTCCACAAAAATAAAAAGTAAGTAAATCAGATTCGATTTTTCAGGCTGAACTATTCCTCTATTGTTCACTTCACATTTGGATTTGTAGCTTTTCAAATCAAGTTTTAGAAAAAAAAAAAAAAATCAAGTTTCTGCAGATCAAATGAAAACGGTTTCTCTCTCTTGACATTGTATCACATGAATATATGCTATTCTTGTGTGGGTTAGTGTTAAGCCAACCCTAGTCTAGGAAATAAGAAGACATACACACTTCCAGACAAGCTGAGCTCTTTCATTGTGCTGCCACAGACCCACAATTCACCTGGCTGCGCTGTAATCCGGTTACTCTGGAGGTCATTTGTTAAAAGTGAAAATGTCACAATGGATCTGACACTCTAGTTCTCACTCCAGGATCTCTCTGGCTTTGTTTCTCATCAGCTGGCGAGTGAGTAATTTCATTAGTTAAATATTCATACGTTACTCTCCATTTGCATCACGGGAAAAACATTTTTTTCATATTTTTTTTAATCCTCTCAGGACTTTCTGAGAGAAAAGCCCCCAAAGAGAAAAGCACAACTGTCAGCACCTCTGCTGAAGCATCCATTGTTTTACACAGTTTAATTACAAAACCCCAGCACCGTTTCATGTTAAGATTATTCACTGCAGGAGGCCTATATAATTTGGACTGGAGGGTTTGTCATGTAATATAATACAATATAACAGGCTTTCAGTATTAGATTTCCGATTTTAGCCTCCTTGACATTTCAAGCCGCATGAACTAATACATCTGTTATTTGTCGATCATTTGATTATTAACATACTTCATAAACCAAATCAGCTACCCTGCTGGAGACTGGAGAGATACGACAGAGACAAACACATTTCTCTTTTGCCTCACTGTCTGCGTTCTCATACGTGTTTTCCCTCCATCTCTTTCTTTCTCCCACAGAAATCTCAAATCCACTATCACTCGGATCACAAAATACAAGGCCTCGTTGCTACACAGACTTCTGAAGCCCGGTGTACTACACAATCTCAAAACGTCTGAAGGAGAATTGCTTCACTATGTCAGATTACAAGGTCTACAGCCGGTCCACAACAAACACGCTGATCCAACAATGGTCGGACTGTGTGAACTAGTTTACAAAACAAAAGAAATGGCATAGAAACCAGTCCAACCATCTCAGATCACAACTTTCTGATTTCTTTGGTACCTCTGATTTGTGTCTACAGTCCCTACACTGCAAATTATGACGTTTGTATTGACTCGAAGTGCTATGGTACACTTAAAATTGGAGTACTACAGTCTCTAGTAAAACAGCTAGCTAGCATTAAGGGAAATGTATGGATTGCATTAAAAAAAGTCATATTTCTCTTGTCGTCTTTCCAGAAATTTCTGTTGCTGTGCTTGTTCAGGCATGCAGAAGGTTTGTGCCGCCACTCTGGTTTGCACGTTGAAAGTTTGCATGTTAAAAATTCTAAAGGGTAAAGAACCTGCCGCTTTCGTACAGTGTTAATTGATGCTCACGGTAGCTGTTTTACTGCAATTAGGGTGTGATATCAGAACTTAAATGAACTGTAAGGAAACTGAGAGAAGCGAATGGACGGATGAAGTCCGGAGTTTCTTTCTAATCGACCTCGCCCTCATTGCTCGCACCCTCTGGACGCCGCAGCTTCTCCACCTGCTCGTTTATCTGTCCGTCACCTCCTCTCCTGTCCTCTGTCTGCACGCTCAGGTGGTCTTCCTCATCCGCATGGGTCAGGTCGTCATCCTCGTCTTCATCCTCATCATCCTCTTTCTTCTCCTCCTCCCCCTGGACTTCCATACGGACCTGGTCTTTCAGGTCCAGAGGAAGAATGGAGCCCAGGCCCACTTCTCCGTTCAGGCAGTGCGAGCCGTTGCCCTCTTTGACAGGGGAGGAGTTGGTTGACTCGTTGCTGACGGGGGAGATGTCACTACTGCTGTTGGTGTGGTTGACGGAGGGCGGGTTGGACAGCGATCCGGGTTTGAGAGGGATTTGCCAGGATGGGATTTTGGGAACGGAGGGTGAAGCGGGGAACTGTCTCCTGAGAAGAAAGAGGACGTGAATAGAAAATTACATGTGTTTTCTTCAAATTGTTTGCTGAAATCTCTTACAACAGAGTACACATTGTGCCTCAGGCTTGATTCTGCCTAAAATATGCACGAGTGAGTCCAGCTATTGTGCTTTGGAAACACGAGCAGATTTGTCAGTCTGAAAGTACATGAGAGATTATGTCCATATGTGCTCCACACCTGCCATCTGATTCAAAACAAAGCATGTCCTCACAACAAAGGTAAAATAAATTCAAAAGCGACTTCAGATATGTACTGTCAGGGTGGTTTTGTTTGAATATATGAGGCAACAAGTTGAGCAGATGGTGAGCTTGCTTCGTATTTACAGCAAAGTTCTCACATCTTGAGAAGGACAAGCAGACACAACATTCAGACACTGGAAGAAAAAGCTAATTGCAGCTTAAAATGTTTAATGAGAACGAAACAGCAGACAAACGAAAGCTTTTATCTGTGCAAATTTCAGATGTATGAGATGACTTAGATATTAATTTGCATGATACATACATAATCAAGTAAAGATTAATGAAAGTGAGGGAAGATTCACCTTGGGGCATTGAGGGAACCTGTTGGATGCATCAGGCCTCATTAACCAATAATGAGACGGTTCCAGCTACATGCCCCGATGAAGAGAACGATATGACATATAGATCAAACCATTTATCTGCCAAATCATCCCAAGGCATACTAATATCAGCTGCCCTGAGTGAGAAACAATGCTCTCCACTCATTTCCACAGTGATAATACAAAACGTGCATGTTGGAACATCTACTAAAAGGCCTCTTTCAAGATGTTAAATGTTAAGTACATGTATCTTATTCGTTTCCAGCACCAATTTGAACACACTGCAAAATAAAGAACAGAAAAATGACTTGACTTGATGTCAGACTTTATTTTGCACCAGAGGTGTAAAGAGTACCTAAAAACCATACTTGAGTAAAAGTACAGATACCTTACAGTGAAAATTACTCCACTACACGTTACAAGTCACCAATTCCACAACAACTTGAGTAAAAGTCTCAGAGTATCTGATTTTAACAGTACTTAAGTATTTTACTTATACTAAATATAGGCTAAAAAAATTGCACTAGTCAAAGAAACATGCCAGTGAAAAACTGTAATGTTGTGGAGAAGCTGGGGGAAAAGTCAACATTTGAAGTGGATCAAAATTTTTTATCAAAGTTGTCCTAAAACCAAAATTCGTGAACCAAACTTTGATGAACTTTTTTGATCCACTTCAAATGTTGACTACTGTATGTGCAGGTATTTAATGGAAAAACAAGAACAAACAATAAGCAAAAAAAAAACAAAGGGCACAAAGAACAGAATGGCTGGCAAATAGACAACAATTACATTCGACAACTCACAAGGAACTAAAGAAAAACTAGGGCTATATATACACACAGG